CTAGGAAGAAGAAGGAGAAGCTTTTGAGTGAGATAGTGGATTTCCAAGCTTGATCCCTAGAGATCGAACCGTTAGATCCGTGTTTTAAGGTTAGATTCGTGATCTACTCTTGTTATTATTTATGTTGATCTAATCGTATTGCATGATCTAGCATGTTTCATGAACCATGCATTGCTTTGAAGTTCGGTTTTAGAAAGAGTGAGTGATATTCATGTGTTCTTGAAGAAAACCATATTTTGATCCGAAAGTTTGTATCAAGATGCATGTTTTTGTGTTTGTTTTCATATGATCTTCAAGTATGGGTACCAAGGTCCGTGTTTTCGAACTCATAGCACGAAATCTCAGACTTTGTAATAACAAGTTATGATTTAAGCATGCATGTTCTTCATCTTCTCCATCTTCATGTTCCTCAAAGGGAAACCCAGATTTTCCCGACTTCGCTTTTGAATGTGGCCGTCGGGACCACACCTCGGCGAGAAGGTGTGGGACCTCGGCCAAGACCTGGTTGGTGTCCAGCATGTTTTCCCGAGATGAGAAACAGTGTTTTGTTTTGATTTGACTTAGTTTTTGAAGAATATCGAATCATCCGTTTGCATGTGAAGCTTGTTTGAAAGTGCGTTCAATAGACTTTGCCATGTGTTTGTAGGACTTGGACTTTTTCCTTGACCCCGATGTTTGAAGAACTATGTGAGTGGTATTTTTAATAAAACTATGTTATAAAGTTTTGATAAAGCTTTGCTTTGCCTTGTTTTGATAAAAGTATTTGTTTAAGCATGAATGAATATCCCTATTTTTGTGTATCAAGTAAATACGTTTGTTTTGATGACATTCTTGGAAAAGTCCTTAGTGCCAGGGGACTATAATGCAACTACACATCTTGTTTTCAAAGTCCTTAGTGCCAAGGGACTATAATGCAACTGCACATCTTGTTTTGAAAGTCCTTAGTGTCAAGGGACTATAATGCAACTGCACCATCGTTTAAGATATCTCCCTTGTTTTGTCTTGTTTTGCCACTGATGGTTTACCGCGTGGGTTTGTTTGTCCGGAATGTCATCATTTGCAATATGTTGATGCTAGTAAGCATCCCTAAAAGCTTTAAAGATTTGTTAGATGAATGTGGTTCATCCCTTGTTATGTAAAGTTTAATATGTATTGTTTTGAAAAGACTTCGGCTATTATTCATGCAAACCTTTTATTATTTATATCATTCACTAAGTACCCAAGCTCACCCTCTCCATATATATATGTAGGTGATGAGCAAGAAGGTGGTGACGCCTAGATGTGTTTCGCAAGCTAGTTTTGGATTCTTGTTATGTTGGCTTGACTTGTATTCATGTCGGCAATCTTGAAGATTATGCTTCTCGACCTGTAATACTTGTGTTTTGCATACGTCGGCTTGAGAAGCCTTTTGATCAAGATGTAACATGTACTTTACTTTAATTGTAACCAAGTTATAACCCATGTTAAAATGTATGCCATTTCATTTGATCTATGCACGGCTCTTATGGACCACTTGTATTTTAAATTATTGCTTCCGCATTTGTATGCCCCTATGAATACTCTGTTTGTGTGTGAATCTTTGTGGGTTGGCATTCGGTAATCTCGGATTACTGGCCATCACGGCACCATCCTACTAGGGGCGGTTTGGGGTCGTGACAGTCATGGTGGTGGTGGCAATATTGATAGTGGTAGCAATGGTGGTGGCATGATGGTAGTGGTTGTGGTGGTGGCGATAATGAGTTTATGATAGTATATATAGATGCTTATGTTAATTAGTATTTATAAATTTATTCAAAATTAAGTAAATTTTATATGATATAAAATTTTCTTAAGTTTGGCCTACATTTTAAGAGGTACTTAAATTTTTAAGGAATATTAATTCTGGCCATCAAACAGATCACTTAATACATTCAATTTTAAGTGCTAAATTAGGTTATCACACATCCAAGTTGGTGTTTGATAAAGTTGAAAAATGAAAATTAAAAGTATTGAAAATTGAATGATAAATTTCTTAAACTGGAAAGTTGTATAATAAAATTTTAATTGCTGAACTAAGATAAATTATTTGATATGTATGATATCAAATTTGAAATTTATTATTTTTAAATTGTATATTTCAAATTTTATATTGTGATGGTGAGTTGGTAGTGGTGGATGAGGAGACGGCGTTAGCTATGACGCTGATGATAATGGTGGTGGAGATAGATGAATAGTGGTTGTGGTGATGGTGGAATGGTAATGTCATGGAGATAAAAAGAGATGGCTACGGCGGTGTAATGATGGTGGCTGTGGTGGTGGTGGTGACAATTGTAACAATGGTTTTGGACATAAAGGGTTGTTGTAGTGGTGGTAGTAATGACAATGGCTACTATGGTGGTGGTGTGGTGGTGGTAATAAAATGATGGTGGTGATTATAGCAACAATGACAATAGTGATGATAATGGTGGTAATAATGATGGTGGTGGCATGATGATAATGGTTGTGGTGGTAGCGGTGGCATGATGGCGGTGGTGGTAGTAGTAGTGTTAGTGATGATAGTGGTGGTGGTGGTGGTGATGGTGGTGGTGGTAGTGATAACGGTAGATGTAGTAACATTGATGGTGAGTTTATAATTGTATATATCGATATTTATTATTTATAGATTCAGTTAAAATTAAAAATTTTATATAAAGCCTATATTTTAAGAAATATTTCAATTTTTAAATGATATCAATTGTGATTATCAAACGAGTCATGGTAATATTTTCACTTATAGTGATTGCTTCATGTAATATTTTTATTTAAATTTTTAAGTGATTTCAATTCACTGTATGTAATATTTTTATTTATAGTGATTGCTCAATTAGTTTTGAGCTATGGTAATTCGCCAAGAGCAGTGAAACAATTTTTTTTTTATCTCATTTTTGTTTTTGTCTTTCTCATAACAACTTTCAAAAAAATTATTAAGTAATTTATATCATGATTCATGTGATTGTCAATGTAGCACTTTTTACAAATGAAGAATTCAAAAATATCATATTAAGTGAGTCATTCATTATCTAACTATAAAGTTTTTATTAGCATTTTTTACGATCATTAGAAAATAGGAAAAATTATAATTAAGTGATACTTTCGATAAATAATTATAGGATTTATGAAAAAAAATTATCATTGATCTAAATTTTTTTTTTAAAAAAAGAAAAAAAATTACACTATCTACAAAACTCGCTACTAATTGGGCCTCAGTTATGATGGTTTTTTTGTTTTTTTTCCCTACTGGATCTTATCTGCTTTTACAAGTGAAAGTAAATTTATATAAGATGGGCACTAGCCAAGTGGTCTTGAAAGGACACTTAAATACCCATGTGAAATTTCAAGTTTAAACGTAGAGAAACGTCACCTTATATTATAAAGCGGTGATTAAGATCTCTAATACTGATGTGATAATTTTTAAAAAAAATAAAATAAAACAAAGCAAAGATTAAAACATCAAATCACACAATGAGACTCACAATTTAGAGCTTCTTTAGAGCTCACAATTTAGAGGTCTAAAATATTTTTCTTATATTATAATTTAACTTTTAACAAGCTAACACTTTATCTTGAACAAATGCAAATATATCTATACACTATAATAGTCTGCAATAATGATTCATCCCACTTATTTGAGAGTACTAATGGACCACTAATGAGGTGAAAATTCAAAAAAAAAAAAAAAACACAAGAGCAAAACATCCCATTATGTGAGACGTATACCACTTTAGAGCTATTAGTACTCATTTTTTTACTCATTTTTAAATAGTCTGTTGATACTTGGAAAGCGTGCAATTACATGCTTTTTGGCCTTCACTATCGCAATTGCTCATCATTTTCTCTTAACAAATAGTTTGTCTCAAAACCTTCTAATATAATTAACAAAGATTAAACCATTCTTCTTTTTGGTCAGTTTCACCCAACTAGATGACAATAAAAAAAAATTGTTTTATAACCATGTGAATGTATACTACTACTTAAATTTTTAAATATATTTAGATTAGACATCAAAATAAGTAACAAAATTGAATAAAAATATGAAAAAAATTCATTGGAATTTAAAAAAAAAATAAGAAAACAAAAAACTCAAATATAATTTTACAAATCTTTTGTTTGGTTTGACTCTTTGGATATAATTTTTAGATGGGTTTTCATTTGTTTTAAGTAAATTTTTTATTTCATATTTTAGTCTTTTTCTTTTTTAAAAAAAAAATATATTTTTTAGATACATCAATCTTGGATGCATTTAACATTTTAAAAACAAAAACAAAAAAAAAGAAAGAAAAGAAGAGTTCATTAAAATTAAATGCAAATCCAAACAAAAATACACAGATTTTTATTTAGATTTTAGTTTGTTTTTCATGAATTTTTTAAATATTTTAGTCTATTTATTTAAATTTTAAGATGCATCTAAATTAGGCACATCTACAAAATATTTCAAAAAATGAATAAAATATGAAGGTGAATTCATTAAAACAAGACAAAAAAAATCATCTAAAAATAATTTTTGAAAAATCAAACAAAACAAAATAATTTGTTTGAAGATTTGTTTTTTTAAAATTTAAATTTACCACAATAATGGCAAGTGTCTCGCACGGGTATTTTGCACTGTTTATATATGTGACTGAGATACATCATTTAAGAGTTATGAAAATTTTTCACAATTTTAAATTTAGAAATAATAACTACAAACTTTTGAATAATGTAATGATGATCCTCCCTTTCAAGTAATATATATTAATTCAAGTAATATGATCACATATTACTTAAAAGGATATCTTGAACTCACCCTAGTTTAAGATCATCTTTGACCTTCCCATCCATATAGACTAATCAAAACAAAAAAAATCAAATTGTTGAGCACCCGAAATCTTGAAAAAAATTTAGGAGAGAATTCACGACGAAGAAGAAAAGAAGAGCACAACCAACAAGAAGCATTACTATAAATACCATTTATTAGATTTAAACCACTCACTACCAAGAAAGGATTTCCAAAAGCAGGAGTAATTCAAATATTTTGAGTTTCAAAAGATTGCATAGGGAGTCATATAAAAAACACACAAAACATTAAAGCAATCCAAATGGCTTTTAGAGTCGCACAAACTGTTAATGATTACATTTGATATCATTTTGTTCTCCTGAGTAGGGGTTGTTGAGGAGTTTACCTCAAGGCAACTTGCCTCCTTGACACGTTGCTTAGCAGCCTTCATCACCAACAAGGCTCAAGCTTATTCATAAGTCCGCCCTAGCTTAACCATTTATCAAAGCTGGTACATGTTTGGGCTCACAACTTCCAAGCATCTTATTGGTAATAATTGCTTAGATGGAATTCAGCATCCTCGTCATCAGATGCAGAAGCTGAATTAGGGGCCTTATCACGACGAACTTTCTTTGGGAGTTCGCTTGGCAGAGATACCACTTCTGGGTTATCGCTTTCCTCATCACCTGCATCATTCAATAGAAGGCCACATTAAGCAAAAGGAAATCTCACCAGTGGTTGAAGAGTATGGTTCTGAGGCCTCGTTTGGGAACATGCTAATTTAGTAACTTTTTGGCTATTTGGCTAAAATATGAGCTAAAAAAAATAGTATGTTTGAGATAACTTTTTGGCTTTTTACGAAAAGATATGCAAAAAGTAGAGAGAAAAGAGAATCTTTGACTTTTTGGTATGGGTTGTTGGCTTTTTGGCTAATTTAGTAACTTTTTGACTAAAATAGAGGGTTCCTAAACGAGGCCTGAGTATCTTTTAGCAGAGCAAACAATTCAACATGTTAAAGTTAGATGTGATCGTGTACTCGTATGATTGTCAATCTTGTAGTCTTATAATATCCTTTTGTTTGGTTTTCAAAGTCAAAAGCTGATCTTTGAGCACATTTTCGTACTTTTTTTAATGGGTCCCGCTTGTCTCCAATTGGAGATCAAGACTGGACCGTCCAGTCCAGCCCATCGGCCCATTTTGGGCCTCTTTTCGATAATTTGAACCGTTCAATATGTAGAACTCGTCGAATACTATATTCCTGTAAAAAATCATGTTGATTGGATACCGATAGCTATTTGATTAGATCAGATTTCTGTCAATCGTTTATTTTTTTACCATTCATTTTTTTTATATAAAACTGATCTAATCAAATAGCTATCGATATCTGATCAACGTCATTTTTTACAGAATTACAGTAGTTGATGAGTTCTATACATTCAACGGTTCAGATTACTAAAACGGAACCCAAAAATGGGCCCACAAGCCAAACTGGACAGTCTAGTCTTGATCTCTAACTAGAGACAAGCTGAACCCATTTTTTATTATTTATTTTTAGTAAACTTTTTTTTTTCATATTTCTTCACAAATATTTTAGGGCAAATTACACCGTTAATCTCTACATTTTGCCCGTCATGTCATTTTGATCCCAACACTTTTGATTGGCTCAATTCTACGAAGCACACACCCCTCTCCGGAGGTGCATACGGTGGACAGAATCAAACACGCTGGGACACTTTGGACACGCTACAGACAAATTGGAGACATGTTGAGGACACGTTGGAGACATGCAAATGACACAATGAGGAACATTTTTGTCAACAAAAATAATAATAATAATTTTGTTTACTATAGCATACCTAAGGTCGATAAATTTGATAAAATTAAATTTGACATAGAATAAATATTAAATATTTAAAAATGACATAATAAATATATAAAATTATATATTTTACACGTGTTTCCAACATGTCTTGCCCTATATTTTTTGAAAATTTGTGTGTTCGCGCGTCCGGGTTGGGTCCGTATCGTGTTACATGTCCATGCTTCTAAGGCTCAATCTTAACCCTTGGTTTTAGATTTTGTATAAATTTAGTCTAATTGATAACGCTATTAGGGTTTTTGATAGAAAATGATCATTGAATTGGTTGAAATTAACTCACCAAGTTGATCAAGTTTACAATTTTGCCCGTAAAAACATGGCACATGTTCATGGGCACATTTTTCTTTTGAACAAAATGTTAACAGTTGTCACAATTGGGCCAAATTGACACATTAAAAAAAATTAGGACCAAAACCGAGCCACTTGAAATTATAAAGACCAAAATGATACAAGGGCCAAATAGAGAGACTACTAGTGTAATTCGCCCAATATATTATTTTTCAAGTGCATCTGAAATGTAAAAAAGTACGAAAAAGTTCACTAAAGACGAAATAAAAATAAAAATAAAAATAAAAAACAATTCGAAAAAACTAAACCAAACTAGTGCTTTCAGGATCAATGCAAGAGATTTTGGCCGTAAGCTAGGAATGAGGATGTCATTGCAGCATAGTGAAAGAATTAGAAACAGACGCATCTCAGTTATTTTAAACATTTTGAGAATTAATTTTCGATATAGCACTGGGAAAAAAATAACAAACACATGAGAGAGAGAGAGAGAGAGAGAGGAGAGAGAGAGAGATGCTAATCAGCAAAGTAGTGTCAGGACATTACTTTGATTGGAAGCATGCATGAGACCTTTTGAGCGTTGCTTCACTGCTGCTGCCTTTCCAGCTTCTTTCCTTACCTTTGGGGGATTAGGTCGCTGAAAGAGACAAATTGATGAGCAAAATAAAAGATTTTAAAAACAAATTATGATCATGGAGCATGCTGTATGGCCAGCCACAACAACCATATCTAAGAGGTCCTGTTGTTTTTAGATGCTTTAAACAATGAAACAAAGGTCATAAAATTGTGCAGGTACAACGATCACAAGTATGAGGCAACACGAGTGAAGGTGCAAAGCTGAAGAACACCACTTCTGTCAGTCGCAGGGGAATTTGAATTTGGATTTTGGGTCATAAACTTCTAATATAATATACTTTTATGCCACATGGCTATCAAAGTGGCATTTTCATCCAGAATTGTACTAAAGTTGGTTTGGCAGTAAATTGAGAAAAATTGCAAAATTTAGGGGCTAAGGTGGAAAAATTGTGAAACTTACAAGGGCCAAAGTATAATTTATCAAAAAACTTAAGATACTGTATTTTTTATGCCACATGGCTACCAGCATGGCATTTTCCATCCAAAATTGAACGGAAGTTGGTTTTGGGAGTAAATTAAAAAAAAACAAATTACAAACATTGGGGGCCAAAGTGAGAAAAAAAAAACTTTAAAGGCCAAAGTGGAAAAATATGAAATTAAAGTGGGTAAGCTGTAATTTACCCTAGAAATAACATCTCAGAGAATTGAAGACTTCAGTCCTATCTATACAAGGATTTGATGTGCTGCGAATTCGAAAAAAGGTATTACCGGTACCAACTCCCCTACACTTTTATTGCATCGTTATTACAAAAATTTCACTAGCCCAGGACAACCAGATTTTATGAAACCCATGCTTGCCTCCTAGTATTTTATTTGAATTACCAAAACCAGATAAGCGACTTGGCAGGTATTGAAAAGGTTAATTACTTAACAAGTATGAAATAACAAGCATATTAATACTGATGGAGAAGGATATGCAAAGCAAACAAACAAACATAGGTTGTTGACGTAATGTTGACCTGTTTTTTTCTGCCTTGGGATGCGCCAACAGGTGGAGGAGTATAGTTCTGCAATAAGGAAACATGTGTAAGAACCCAGAATTCTTGCATTGTTGAAGGAAAACCATTTGCAATTTGTTTGAGATTGACAATCATAATCTCCCATTTTTATACAGGAACTTTCCTCTCAGAAAGGGTTCTTTTGAATTGAGTTGTTAAGCAAACTCTAACTTTTAACAACTTAATTTCAGTGAGATTACATATCTGTCATCTAGAATTCCAATGAGACTACTAGGAACTTAGGTAGTGTTTCGTTCACTAGAAGTCTGGAATGCAGTGGAATGGAATTATCATACCATAAACAAGTCCATTCCCATGTTCGGTTGATTAAAAAAATAATGAAAAATGCATTGCAAATAGAATCATTATTCACCATTCTAAGGGAATGATCATTCCATTCCATCTCATTCAAGTGAACCAAATAGAGCATCACACAAATAGAAAGAAAAGCATGGAACCACATGTAATGTGTTTGCAAACCTTTACTATCAAGGAAAATAAATTGTGATAATGATGCAAAAGACAGGTTTAAGACAGGGTTGGGAGGCTGGGGTTTCGACCACATTTAAAAATATTTTTTTAAACTAGTACAGTTCTGGTCTATTAATAACAGAAAACAACTTGAGAGCATTACATTCGCAAATCTTTTGTCTGTATTTTTAGAAGTGAACCATTTTAGAAAATAGAAACTCATCTACAGATAGCAGGCAAACTACCCCCAAGTTCTGGATCTTATCTGCTTTTCTTGGATTCTTTTCCAGTGAAAAGGCATCTTGGATCTTGTCTGCTTTTCCTTACAAGACTTATTTCGAACTTTCCTATGATGTATTGCAAGATAGATAATCAAATTCTCATATGAAATGTAGAATCTAAAATACAATTATTGATCATAAAATCACTAACCATGTGTGAGTATCTTCACTGGAAACCTTATCGGTAGAATGAAAGTCTATAAAACAAACAGATGGACACCAGAATAGCAACTTACTTCCCAGTTGTAGGTACCCCCATTACCACCAACGTGTCATGCACACGTACACAATGGCATTTGTCTTACATGTCAGCATAAAGACTTACACATGTTTCCCATGATGGAGGCATGTATGGTCCACGTGTTCAGACTAAACTAAATAAGATCAAAGGACTTGCAACAATTTCTATCCAAGACCTATGAGCTATGAAGCCTCACCAACTTGACATTCCACAGGATTCAGGAGATTAGGCCATCTCATGGCCATAATAATCATAATCGCACAACTCATTTTTATAGCTGTCATAATGCCCATCTTATTACCTTATTCTAGTAGTTGTACCGCTCAATTACTTAGGAAGTATCTAGGTTGAGAGGAAAGTATTAGGTATGTTGCAGTCCTTGGTATGGAGCCTTGCCTTGGTGTTGTGTCCACCCCACACAAGTCAAGCTGCCTTAGGTCAGTCCTATTGAGAGAGAGAGAGAGAGACCTCACAACTAGGCTTCTCTAAAATCATTATGTAATCCTAATGGTCTAACTAACTTTTCACTAGATCCCCAAAAATACGAGGAACATATTAGACAAGTAGTTACGACCATGTGCTTGCATCCTATGTATAGAAGGTGGTACTTTCATTACATCATGGTTGGAACACATCATCTCATGTTGAGCTTTGCTCTGCTCTGCTCTCACTTCTCTGTTGTACTGCTCCATCTCTCTCGCAGTCATCCTGTTTTTGAGTTTGGTGCCTCTTATGTGTTTTGCCACTCTCTGGTAAACCTCAAACCTGCAATCAACTCCTCCACACCACCTTACTTGGGAGACACTATTTACAGGTCAGCTTTGTACCAAATTGTTTAGGTTATTGAATAAAATACAGTCGCACTCTTATCATACCTTTAATATGACAATCTTGCAACACAAGTTTTATTTTGACTAGAGGGTCTGTTTCTGTGTCCATGAAGATGATATTGAATGAATAATTTAAAGCTATTTCTCAGCATTCTTACATATAACATCTATATCTATTTAAAGATTTGAACCCCTAGCACACAATTCATGAAGAAACACTTAAAAGTGACATGTAGTACTTCAGGTGCTTTGGAAATTTGGAAGGTCAGAATGTATTGAAATGCGTCACTATAATCAAGTCGTGAACAAAAAGACCACACTGGGAACTTTCTCCATACCTCTTCCATGGAGCCACATTGAATCAACATAGGTAAGGCATCTTCATAGGCAGACAGGATAAATAAACATAATATATTCTACTGCTATAAAAAAAGTGTAGCTGCATTTGGCATAAACCTTATCTTATCACCACCAGATACCTTGTCCAAGTAATTTAGAAAAATGATAATCATAAATGACAGTCAAAACTGAAGGAGGCACACTAATGCATTCTAAACCAAAGGTCATGTAAGCATGGAAATAACATAGAAATTAAGTATCATCATTTTTTCAATACAAGTACCACTTTTGCAAATCAAACTTACCGGTGCGTTAATGGAGACCTTAGCTCTTTTAGCATAGTTTATGTAACGCATAAGATCTTGCTCACTGTAGAATGTCTGGCCTATATCATTTTTATAACACTACAAAGCCACACATCAAAAGGAATAGTGAGTGTAGTTCTAGAATCAATAGATTTTATGATATAAAGTGCCAAAAGTTTCAAATTTGATCAGATTTCATAAATTCATTTTTTTTATTATCACTATTTCCATCAACATTTTTTTTTTTTTTTTGGTGGTTAGTAAAAACGTAAATTGTTAGCACATAACTCTTTCTTGGAGAAAAAGAAAATTAGAAATCAAGACAGTAGAAAGGAAATCAATTTTGACCTAACCCAAAGGTGGTGACTAATTTGGGCCGAAAGGCACCACATTGAGGCCATCTAATTTGCATTTGTAGTCCTTGAGGTACGGTTACTTGGCAGATATTATGTGTTTTTTGTGTGTGCAGGCTTGCCAAACAATTCTCAATAAAATGAGAAAGGGATCATAGATTCTCTTGGCACAAGCAGCAAGACCTCTGCATGAGCAGCAAATGCATGACAACCACCATAACACTGCTAAGCCGCTGCACATACGGCCAGTGCCCAAAAGCCTACTGTTAAAGCTCTGCTGCACGAGAAGCCACACCTTGAAGTGTGTGTGCAAAAATGAGAACTGACCTGAATAGAATTCAAGTATAAAAGGAAAAAGAAAACAAAGAAAAAGGGTTCTGATTCTTTTGGTAAGAGGGAGGCAACTAGGGCTAGAGATGAAGCAAGCTTGCATAACTGTGGGGCTCACTATCTCCTCCATTTCCTTGTCACTCCTTCCTATCTCCATGAGTGGCTAAGCTCCATACTTGGGGTTTCATAACCTAGCCAAGTAATTGAATTTTCATCTTCAGAGATTTGTATTAAATCATTTGATTGGAATAATTGTAAAACTTATTGAGTTTTTGAATAAACATGTCTCTATATTTTATCTTCATTCAATTTATGTGATTGCAGATAAATGTTTTACTTTTGTTTTCATTGTTGTTGTGTTTGGAACTTGAGATGGGCTATGCTTTCACTAGACGGGTTATGCCACAAACCCTAGTTTAGAGTGGACAATCTGTGCCATTTGAGATAGGTTGTACTCTTGCTTTGAACACAACATTACTCTCCTTTTCAATTTCCAACTTGTAGTTGAGAAATTGACCTATTCCAATCAATCAATTGTGTAATCTAAGATGAGAAATCCAGGTACGGAACTAGCGGTGGATGCGGATCCCTAAGTTACCATTTATTATTCTTTAACTTGAAATTTCTTGCTTACTTAATTAGGGTTTTATTATCTAGTTCATTCTCACAAAACAATCCATTTCAACAAAAATAATTTGGGAACAAATAATGAAATAGCTAGAATAACACAATTGTCCACGCGGATACAATACCCATACTCTACCACTTTACATGTTTTAAAACCTTTACAGAAAGACTGATTGTTGATCCTGTCAATACGAAGGGGTAGGTTGGGAACAAACCCAACTTCTACAGTGGTACACACAAGGTGTTTGGCCTTAGGACTTGAACACGCATTCACTTCTTGACTTTCGACTTTTGACTTTGAGACCATAAATAATTAACAATTATAGAGCAAAGATTTACAATTGACCTCACCCATTATAATAGAATTTGGCTTTCCTTTTACTAACATGAATGCATGGAAAGCTAAATGGAATGAAGCAAAGGTCAAGAGATTAGGAAATCTTTTAATGAAAAATTAGGAAATTAAGGATGTGGGAAGTTTGAAATTGAATAGAATCTTGTAATGCACAAGAGATTAGGGAATTATACCCTAGTAAAACTCTGCCCCACAATAGGAGGTGGCTTCTAAAATGGAATCTTAATCCAACTTGAGCTATGCAACCTATTTGGATTTTCTTGTACGTAGTTTCCAATCCTACTGGTTTTCTTTCCACTAGTTTTGATTCTCTAGTACCTCTAGCACATGTTTCTTTATCCAAAGAAGTGAAAGACAAAAGATGAAGGGATGATGCTGGTGGCCCAAGACAAAAATCCAGCAACCGGTGTGAGACAAAGAGGGAGAAAATTACATCCTTTAAGTAGTTTAACATTTGGAAGCAATTTCAAAACATGGTGGGAAAGGCTATGCTCTACACTAAGCTATTCTGACCACAGTGGATAACTCTCTTAAGTCTGACATCTTGGAGTAGTAACTGCTTTTCCATCACAGTGTTTTTAAAGGCTCAAGGCGCACTAAGGCGCTGAAGGTCTCTCGGGGCCTAGGCGCAAGGCGAGGCGCGGGCTTTATTGAAGTAAGGCGCACAGTCTTAGTAAAAAATAAAAAAATTAACATAGACTAATCATTCATAGTACTATCACTTGATATTAATGTCTTTTTTTTTAATGCTGCAACATACCCATCAATGTTTTACACTTTCAATACTGAGACATCTTTTTCACTAGAATTTCATTATTGGTAAGAAGTGAGGAGTTTGAACTCAATCATGTTGAAAATTCAAGAGTTGAACTCAAACTTCTATAATTTTGTAGCTAAATTTGGTAAATCCAAGTCAGACATATTTGGGGGAAGAAAATAGGGAAACCAGTCATAAAAAATGGAAGTTCATAATTTAATGACATTAGTTCCAATAACATAAACAGAAAAATGATGACTTACAGTTAACAATACATCTGAATATGAAAAAAAAAAACAAAAAGCACTAGGGGAATGAGATGAAGATGCTAGATTACCTTAATTTCTTTACCATTTTTACCAATTTCATTTTCGGCATGCCAACCATCAGGAATCGAATCCGCCATTTATTGCAAAGTAAAAGTTTCTCTCTATCCAAAACCAATGTAAACAAAAGCCAGAATGAGGGTAACTTCTATGTATAGTAAAAATTAATGAACAACCAACAAATAACATCTTAAGACCAACTTCAAATGTTAACCATCATATGTATCTACTTCAGATTTAATAAAAACAGCAAGTATCTTGTTTAGTATTTTTTTTTTCTCTCTAGGTCAATACAACAAGAAATATGAAAAGCCACACCATTTAACTTGTTTGCAAAGCTTTAAAAGGCATTATTGAGGCTCCCCTCGAGGTGAGCCTAAGGCAAAATGCATTGAGGCTTTGACTTTTAAGCAACAGTCTCCAAATTTTTGTGCAACACACTCTGGGTGCTCCTTGTATGCTTTTGTACACAAGCATACATGGAGTGCGCATATAAAGTGTCTGTCTTGGGTGGTTGTGAAACTTAGTCTAATACATGGTTTAAACATTAAAAAAACTACCAAAAAAAAATAAATAACTAATAACTCTTTTGTAACTATATTTCATGGTAAAATAAAGTAAATCACCAATCAAGGAAAAACAAAAAGCTAATGCTCAAGTGAGAAACTCAATAACTAAAGCTAAGAATGTCGATTTCACATTCAACGCGGCCAAGTTTCCTTTTTTGCAATGAAATGTTCAACGCCTTGAAGAGAAAAAGCATTTATACCATTTAATTTTTAATATTCCTTACTTTTTTGATATTTTTTACTATTTTAAAATAGTTTATTTATTTACTAAATATAAAAATTTGAAATGCTTATGCCTCAAAACACCTCCCGTTATGCATTCAACTTCAAAAACTTTGTTTCTTTGTATTGCAAGCATAAGGGATTCAAACATGCCAAAAAGGAAGAAGAAGAAAAAATATCAATTCTTTTTTATTCTGATTTCCGTGGCAATGGATTTTTTGGGCACAACCAAACAAAAGGGATAATAAGAGTTGGATGACAATGTAAAGAGGTAAGGTTTATAGTGGAATTAAGATTCTAGGTTGCAGACTTGGCAGGAATTGGTTAAGATGCCAAAACAAACATTGTCTGCAGTGCAAAAACATAAAGGTAAAGGTAAGGCATCAAAGTAACAAAAGACGTGGTTTTCTCCAACCAGGAAAGATTTCTTTCCATGAGAGCATCACTCATATTTCAAGAAATAAAACTAATATTTATGGTGATTATGGCATAGCAGCAATAAATTTGATGAGATAGAAAAACTATTACTTTGTCATCCTAAGCACCATTGGAACTAAACTAATTCATTGTCAACCATCCTCTACAAGATGACAACCTAGAGGATGGTACCAAGGGTTGCTTCAGATCATTGTCCAGTGATTTTTGAAAGCTGCCCATTTAAGTGGGGACTGACAACTTTTAGGTTTGAGAACATGTGGTTAGAGCATCGGGCATTTAAGGAGTACATTAGGGAGTGATGGGTTAGTTGCAAAGTGCATGGGTGGAAGGGATTTAGATTTATGAGAAAGTTGAGGGGGATAAAGGAAAAATTGAGAGTGGAAACAACAGGTTTTTGGTGATTTGTTCAAGTCTAAAGCAGAGATCATAAGGAAAATTGAGGAGTTAGATTTGAAGGAGTCTACAGAGGGCTTGTCTGGGGAGTTAAGGGAGGAAATATGTATGATGAGAGCGAGGATGGAAGAGCTAGGTTTTAAGGAGCAATTTTTTTGGAGACAAAGGGCAAAGTTGAAATGGGCAAAGGAGGGTGACATTAATTCAAGATTTTTTTCGTAGAGTTGCATCGGGAAAAATGAGGTAAAACTTTGGAGATCAGTCAGGGGATAGTGGTAAATAAAGGGGATCAAATTGTTGATGAGATTTTTAAGTTTTATTCGAATCTCTATTCTAATTGGGGAGTGGATCAACCAGGTATTGAAGATATTGAATGGAAACCTGTGGAATCATCTAGAGCTAGATGGCTTGAGAGACCTTTTGATGAACTTGAGGTGTATCAGGCGGTTTTTGAATGTGAGAGAGATAAAGCCCTAGGGCCGGATGATTTTTCTATGGCAGTCTTGCAAGATTGTTGGGATATAGTGAAAGATAATCTTATAGGAGTGTTCGGGGAATTCTTTGAGAGTGGGGAGGTTAATCTTTGCACTAATGCATCATTTTCATTCATATGTTTGATCCCTAAGAAAGAGATAACGGTGAAGATTGGGGACTATAGACCTATTAGTTTGGTCACATCTCTCTACAAAATTCTGGAGAAGGTGCTTACAAAGAGACTTAGAGATGCATTTGGAGGGACGGTTTCTTCATCACAAGGAGCTTTTGTGCAAGGGAGGCAGATTTTGGACGTGGCTTTAGTAGCCACTAAAGTAGTGGAAGAATATAGGAGTTTGCACAAGGAAGGAATTTTATTTAAGGTTGATTTTGAAAAAGCATATGGCCATGTGGATTAGGGTTTTTTGGATTTTGTCATGGAAAATAAGGATTTTGGAGAAAGGTGGAGAAAATGGATTTGGTGGTGCGTGTTTTCATGCAACATGCTTGTTATTGTAAATGGCAAAGCTGGGAAGTCTTTTTAGGCATCTAGGGGATTGAGGTAGGGTGACCCACTATCTCCCTTCCTCTTCATTTTGGTAGTGGACGTGTTGGGAAGATTGATGGACAAGGCAAGAGAAAAAGGTGAGATTAAGGGTTTTGTGGTGGGTAAGGATAAGATCTGTGTCACTCATCTACAATTCGCAGACGATATCATTGTTTTTTCATCAAAAGAGGAAGGAAAGGTCAGCAATCTTCTTGCACTCTTGAGGGTTTTTTAAATCGTCTCTGGACTCCGTCAATCTCACTAAAAGTAGTGTAGTAGGAATCAACTTGGAGTCTAGTTATGTGCAAAATTTGGTGACCATCTTGGGATGTCCCATTGAAAAAATAATTTACAAATATTTGGGGCTACCATTGGGGGGAGATCCTAAGTTGGAGGCGTTTTGGGATCCTATCCTTGATAAGATTGGGAAAAGGTTGGAGGGATGAAAGAGAGCGTTGTTATCTAGAGAGGGGAGATATACTTTGGTGCAGTCTGTGTTGAGTTGTATCCCTATGTATTTCTTGTCTTTGTTTAAGATCCCAATTAGAATTGCTAGAAAGATGGAGAAGTTAATGAGGGATTTCTTGTGGGAAGGGTGCAATGAGGGTTTAGGTTTCATTTAGTTAGATGGGAGGTTGTCACTCTACCTAGAAATAAGGGGGGTCTTGCTATTGGGAATGTTGTTGCAAGGAACATTGCTCTCTTAAGCAAGTGGTTATGGAGAGTTCCTCTCGAAAGCGACTCACTGTGGCATTCCATTATTAAAAGTAAGTATGGTGTTCAGGCCAATGGTAGAGATTTTGTTGTGGTTAATAGAGGCAATGTCGATCACCACGGAAATCTATTTATCGCTTACTACCTATCATGTCCCCATTCTTGTCTTTGAAAGTGGGAAATGGGGAAAGTACTCGATTTTGGGAGGATAGGTGGGAGGGGAGTCCACTTTTGATAATCTTTCTGCTCCTTTATCGATTGGGTCAAGTTTAGAATGTTTCAATTGTGTCAGTGGCATGTTCTAATTTGGCACCAACTTCTTGGAACTTCAATTTTATTAAGAATCTCAGTAATAGGGAGTCACTCAGAGTTGGTTTCTTTGCTGTCTTTGCTTGAAGGGGTTTCTTTGGTTACTCAAAGGGCAGATAGGAGGGTATGGATAGACCATCAATTTGTCGGGAGTTTTCTCATGTAAATCTATGTTTGACTGAATTATTGATGTGCCTTCCATTGTTTTATTTCCTTATCACAAAAAAATAAATAATAATAATAATAATAATAATAATAATAATAATAATAATAATTGGAATGCAGTTGTTCCTTATAAAGTGAGGTTCTTCATGTGGTCCTTAGCTCATGAGTGTCATGATCATTGATCATTGATACAGATGAGCCAAAAAAAGCCCCCCCTCATAAATCTAACTAGCACATCTCATAAGACACCCACCCCTCACTATCCAACTTTAGTGATGTGGTCCTTGAATCTGTGATCACAAAATTTCCCCTCCATACTTGATACCCTCCCCCTTTTCCATTTAATAAAAAAGAAGAAAAAAAAATTTAAGGCAAAAGACAGGTAATCAAGGTGGCTAAAATCAGGATCCTAGATGGGATCATTGGGAGGGATTTTTGGATTAGATCATAGAATCTGATCAAGCATCGTAAAATTGTGCTTTCAGTGCAAAATAAAATGAAAAATTATCAATAATGACAATGTATTTTAACTAATTTTAAAATCATTAAAAATAATAATAAATTTGATACAATGCATTCATTATGTTAACATAAATTAGAGGAGATGTTTGGAGGAGTTTATTGTCAAATTTCTTATACAGATATACACATATAAATACATATATAAGAAATAAATAATAAGTGGTAGGATCGGGATCATAGTAGATTGCAGATTGTACTGCAATTCTACACGATTTTATGACAAAGATCATAGTCACATTAAAATCCTAATGAATTTAAAATCCTAGTGCGATTCAGATCGTTTGGCCCAACTAAGACCGTAGAAAAGTAAGATCCTATGATCCAGATCAGTATTTTGATAACCATGCAGGTAATTAGATTTGTGGCTAGATAGAAAAGGGGGCTTGTCCACAGGATTAAAAATGAGAGTGAGAGAGAGAGAGATGATGATGATGGTGATGATGACGAAGATGACGATGACGATATAACAAAATCAACCAAATCAACAAAAGGGAAATGATTAAAAAAATGGAAAAAATAACACTTTTCAAAAAAAAAAGAAAAAAAAAAAAAGAACGAAGAAAATGATCTAACAAAGATTTGTCAAAAATTCAAACTTACATCACTATGGCAACAAGCTTGGGTGGAGGATGGCAGATCTAGAAGGAGGAGAGAAGGATAAAACCCTAAAATGCTTATATATAATACAAAGAAGGGTAGTTTTTTATTAAAAAAAATAACGGTAAATTACACTGACACCAATTGGATTCTT